GGTTAACCAGGCAATATACTGTGGATATGTTTTCTTTCTTTTCCAACTCATTTTCAGCAATCCATCCTCATACTTCACCCTAGTTGGGGTTTTTTTGTGTGTTTTTTTTATTTTTTAATTGAAGTATTGTCAGTTTCTGGTGTACAGCATAATGTTTCAGTCATACATACATATATTCCTTTTCATATTCTTTTTCATTAGAGGTTACTACAAGATATTGAATATAGTTCCCTGTGCTGTACAGTATAAACTTGTTGTTTATCTATTTTATATGTAGTTGTTAGTATCTGCAAATCTCTAACTCGCAATTTATCCCTTCCCAACCCCTTTCCCCCATGGTAACTACAAGTTTATTTTCTATGTCTGTGAGTCTGTTTCTGTTTTGTAAATAAGTTCATTTGTGTCTCTTTTTTTAAGATTCTACATATAAGTGTTATCATATGGTATTTTTCTTCCTGTTTCTGGCTGGTTTCACTTAGAATGACAATCTCCAGTTCCATTCATGTTGCTGCAAATGGCTAATCTAGTTGTTTAATCTCCTCCAAGCATCATTAAACATTAGCATTTCAATAATTTTATCTTCTTTAAAAAACCCCCAGGAGCCTTTGATCAGCTGTAGTCTTAGCTGTTGCTCTTTGGGTTTGTTGCAGAGCTCTCCTCCAGGGTTTTTTTCTTTATTTCTCTGTTGTGCTGAATTTTCTCTTTTTTAATATTATTTTCTTTGTTCTTTTACTCCCTTGTCTTGCTGGACCACATTCTCTAGTAGCCTTACAAGAAAGGATACATTGGAGTAAAACTGTTTGAAACCCTGCATATTTGAAAATCTTTTGCTCTACTTTTATATCTGATTTTTAATTCATCTGTATATAAATTGTTAGTTAGAAATCATTTTCTCTTGGGATTTTCAGTATTGATGTTGAGATATCCAATGCCATTCACATTTTTTATTCTGTTTTGTTTCAGTGAAATCTTTCCCTTCCCACTCTGGGAGCTTAGAGATTGGTTTCTTTGTTTCCAGTGTTATAAAATTTCATGATGATGGACCTTGCTCTGGGTCCATTTTCATCTATTGTGAAGTATCCTCAGTGGGCATTTTCTTTTTTCTTTCTTTTTTTTTTTTTTTAATTTTCAAAACCTCCACACAAATGCAGGCTCTTCTGGGGATAGCCAGTTCTGATCTGGAATGACTTCCACTCACCCTGCAGCTTCACAATAAGACCTTCCCCTCTCTTCGTCTTTGCCTTAACCTTGCCTGCACTCAGAATCTGCCACGTCCTGTTGTTTCAGTCCAGCCTGAGACTCTGTTTAGGGGGCCCTGTTTGATTCTCCTCTAGCCATAGGCTTTATCTGCATCCCTGAGAAAAGCCAGGTCACCGATGACGGGCCTGGAGGAGAGGCTGTGGAGGCACACAGGATGGCACTGGAAACATAAGCATTCTTTGGTTTTTAGAAGAAAAAAATTAAACATCTTTTGATAAAGTGGGAGATGAAAGCATTTACAAAAATAAAATCTAGCTCCGTAGTTATAACCATAACATGTCCACAAACAGACATGTCCCAGAGATGTCGGGACCCGGGAGGTTGATGCTGGGTTTTTTTGTCGACTGAAGCACCCGGGCACCCAGTTTCTTTCTCCTTACAGTATAAGGGTCATGGCTATTTCCTTCTTCTTGGTGGGATATTTAAGCAGTTAGCTCAACTCTGGAGACAGATGGGGCAGGAGACACCACCATACTACTGCAGGGGGTTTCTCAACCTCCCCAATCCACCACTAAACAAACCAGCACCCACAAACTCCCAGAAGGACCTCCAGTTGAGAGCCACTGTTCTGGCCTTTCCTGGAGTGGCATTCTAAGCCTGCCTGGCTTGAAGACCCAGTCCTCCCCAGCCAGGTGGGTTGTCTGGCTCCCTGTATTTAACTGCAGAACTCAGTCCTGTTCCCTACATTGTATCATCCCAGCATCTTGGGCTCCACTAGGGGAAGAAGGCAAGATGGATGGAGTTACATCTCATCTCTGGGTACTCCCAGGGTGACACTGGGGCATCCACCACACCTGTCTGTGCCTGCTCCCTCTATCCCCTTCTCCCAGTTGGCACCTCTGAGCCACATTTAGGATCTGAGTAACAAGATCATCAACCACTTCCACTCCACCCAGGAGGCACAATGCAGGTCAAGGCCAGACCTGGGGCAAGTCCTGAGGAAGAAGTAAGATTTACAGACAGATGGATGTATGGAGGGACAGATGAGTAAGTCAGGCCATGGCAGAAGCTCCTGAGCACAGTGGTGTCCTGGTCCCAGGGCTGAGCATTCACTCAGTTTGGATGGTGAGTTCGTGCTGGGTGGCCTCCTCGATGTTCTGAAGCAGGTGGATTTCCCGCTGCCTCACTCACTCTGTCACAGCAGCAAGCTTCTTCAGGTCCTGTCGCCTCCTCCTGGCTGTGTTCGGGGTCCCGGGCATTCCCAAGTTTGGTAACCATCTCCTTGTCCGGGGGGCCTTGCCCCACTGCTGCTTCTGCTGCTGCCTGACGGTCAAGACTGTCATGCGCAGATCTTCCTTAGGAGCCCAGGGATCTGAGTAGGACCCTTGCTGTTCACTGGACACCTCAGAGGCCTGGATGGTGGAGAGCTGCCTCTTTCTGTCAGGGCCTGTAGGGCTGAGCCCTGTCAGGGATGATGAGAGGTCCCAGGAGAAGTTTGCGGGCAATGGGGACCCACCAGCAGGGCCCCCTTCCTGGCGGGAGGGGACATGGCCCTCTAGCTCCATGTGCCAGCTGAGGGTGGCTCCCTCTGGGGTGCTGTGCTTTGGGACATTTCTCAAGGATGGCTGTCTGGTCACTGAAGAAAGGCCCTCATCTTCAGGGGAGCTCAACCCAGGAACCTGTGCCTGGCTCTCCATCCTGCTTCCCTGCTGGGGACTGGATGCCTTGGATAGCTGCTGTCAGTGGGCATTTTCCATTTTGGAAACTTACAGCTTTTAGTTCTGTAATACAGTCTTTATTTTTTTTAATTATTTTTTGTTTTCTCTATTGTTTTCTAGAACTTTTGTTATTTATATATTGCCCTCATGGCTTGGCCTTCTAATTTTCTTATATTTTATGTTTTCTATGCTTTTTTCCTATCCACTCCCCAGAAGATTTCTCAGCTTAGCAACCAGTGCATTTTTAATTTCTGCTGTTATATTTTTTTAATTTCCAAGAGTACTCCCCCCTCCCCACTCTCCAGCTCTTCCTTTTTTTCTGTTCTTGTTTTAAAAATGTGATCTCTTCTAGTTTTTTTTTTCCTCTCTACATAGTTGTTTTGTTCATATAGGTTGTTTAACAAATGTCTGACGATTCTTGGTTCTTTGCTTCTGTTTACAAGTAAGACATTAAACACTGACTAGAAAGTCTTCATGGATATGTCTTGTAAACTGTGGCCTTCAATAACGAGTGATCTGATTGGGGTGTCTTGTTGAGGAACCGCAGTATCGGTATCTCTAGTCTTTTCTCTTTGGTCACATTTTCCAGGAAAGAATCATTGTCTGTGATTCTGCTCCCCTGCCTAGAGGGCGTAAGCCTGTTTGTCTGTTTTGGGACCCGTGGGGATAAGAAGGTGGAGGGAGAGGAACAGTAACTTTCATCTCATCCCCATGATTTTTGCAGGATGACCAGCTGTCAGTGTAGGGTTCCTCTATCCAGATACCCTCTCCAGAAAATAAGTCTCTGTGTTTTTCTGCCCGGAAGGGTTGAGAAGTTACCTATTGTGTGGAATGGGTAGAGAAAGGATCTGAATCAGTGTTGCTCATAATCAGCTACTTAAACGTTCTTGCAGGCTATCCTTCTGTTTTAGCCTCACCCCCGTCCTCACTTCCAGAGGTGACATTTCCTCATCCCTTTTAGATCACTCCGTTTTAAACCCCGTACTTCTCAACCGTCTATACTGGCAGCTCAGGAACTGACAAGTTGGCAAATGAGTTACCAGGCATCTGTCTCCTTTTTAGCTTCCAAAGTTGTGTTGCTATTGATCCCTCTCCAGTTCTCTTTTTCTCTATACATTTTGCTGTCGTTTAAATATAGCATTGAGAAGGAATGGAGGGTAAATGTATTCAGTCTGCTGTCTTTTCCCAAAATGTCTAAGTAACTAGTTTTTAACAGTTAAGAGACACTATATTTAGGTTTTAAATTTAATTCATGCTATCCGCTTTAAATTTAACTCCTGTTTAATTCATCTTATGTTGATTTCTTACTCTTAATTGGTAACCTGGCCTCAAGTTAACTAAGAGAAGCCTATTCAGTATGAACCTTCTTGATTCTCTCCCTTCTACCTCACAATTTCTTTGTATTTTCCTCTGTTCTCTCAAAACTCCCTCCTGTGTTCCTAATCCCATCACTCCTCCTCTTCTGCAATCTTATCCATCCTAGAGAAGGTCCCTGCATTTTCCATTTTTCTTGGCCTCTCCACAGCTTCAACAGCCTATTTGTAAATCTGCTCAAGTTTCTTAGTTAAAAAAAAATAAATCAACCAACTTTCCTTAACCTTTCATCTTCAGCCCAACTTTCTTATTCTTTTTCAGTCTCTCTCCCACAAAAAGATAAAATGCTATTCATTTGACTTTTTTTATCTTTCCCTTTCTCCTTAACTCTATTCCACTTAGTCCTCTATATGAGCTTGTTCTGAGAATTACTTTCTAAACAAGCCACCATCTCTTTCCTGGCCATAGCCTACTTGACTGCCTACTTTCCTTTGAAAAGTCTTCTCTTGTCTTATTTTTTAAGTTCTAATTTTTGTCCTGTTCTTGTTTACTTTTCAGTTTTTTCCCCCTCTCTTGCCCTTCTTCATCCACATGCCCCTTATGTGTAGGATTCTACTTCCTTAGGCTACCTAGAGAACAAAGGAGCTAAAAGTTCACAGAAACTTACTGATTCTCAAGAAGGCTTTCTTACTTTATTAAGAGAAAGAGACGTGATTTTTTTAGTAAACATTTTTATGACACTAATAAGGTTTAACTTTTAATATTTAGGCAGGTGCTGTAAAGGATTATATTAAGATGATGCTTCAGAATGATTCGCTAAAATTTCTGGTTTTTGCTCACCATTTAAGCATGCTCCAAGCTTGCACAGAAGCCGTCATAGAAAACAAGGTATGCTACCATTTGTCTGTGAACTACTTCTTAGACTGCATTTTTTAATATACTAAATGTCAATTGTATGTTTATAATTGAGCTTTTTTTGCCTTCTTTAGATAATGGTATATAAATTAGTATAACATATTTTAGTACAAATTATATGAATAGTATATTCTATTGTGTTGATAATATACTATTACACTTTCTCTTCAGTACCAGTGCTATAATTTTCCATTGATCCAATTAACTGGATTGATGAAAATATGCTGCCTCGATAGGCTATAATGTGAATTCTGTTTTTGTTACTGAATATACCATTTGAGATTGGCATAGGTAGTTAAAAGTTAAAATTTTTGTTTACCCACATGGTGGGTTTAGAATGTGGATGGTTTTGATGGGAAAGGAAGAATTAATTCAGCCAATCCTAGTGCCCAGCTGCAGTTGTACCTTTTAAACTTGCAGTCAGCCTGCTCTATAGCAGATTGTTATTGATATTTCATATAGATGAGTTTGAAACATATGCCCAGGTGAGTCATACCAAACCTACTGGCCTCACTGCATTCTCTCCAGTCCGCCTTGTTCTCCAGCAGTTCCGTTGGTGACAGCATCCTACCACATTTTCCTCCAAAGTTTAAACCTGTCATCCCTCTGTATATGCTAAGGGCTTCTAGAAATGCTCTGAACCGGGCAGAGAAATTTCTTGACAAACTGTGTAAGCTTAATACATGTGAGGCAGCAGAACCACTTGCCTGTGCAGGAAGATTTTTTTAAAAGGAGGAATGAAGCCCCGTTTTTTGAAAACTCTGTATACTTTTTTCAAGCATTGGCTAATCTGTTCATTAACATGACCAAAGAAGTAATTCTAATGTTTCCTTCATAGAAAGATTAATAATAATATAAAGTGCTGTATATTGAAAGGTGCTTTCTCATTATCACATAGTATCTATAAAACACCTTCAGAGGAAGAGTAAATTAGTCTTAGAAATAGTTTTTAAATGATTGAACAATAACAGATTTTTTAATTCTGAATACATTATACCTTAAAACTACTGGAATCTATTCCAAGTCTGTCTCTTCTTACCAGTCCTGCTTTACTGGTGTGTTCAGAATCCCATTTAGTGCCATTAAAAGGTAAAAATGTGGCTAGTCATGGTGTTCGAGGTTAATTTCTCCTAGAGTCTCCCTAGCCTGACAGTGTGTTTTCAAAGACCTTCAGAAGATTTTATAATCTCCCTCAGTGGATACTGAATGGATCTCTGGTCAGTTTCTGTTTTGTGAAACATAGAACGTTGATAAGGGACATTGTATTTAATGATTAACTTGACTATCCCCTTATAAAACCGAACACTTGTATCTCTTAACTACATAAGGCCACGTGTTCCATAAAAGTGCATATAAAAATGAGACACTTTGAAATTCAGAGCTTATACTTGTTTTTACGAAGTTGAGTAATAAGTTCTTTCTAACTCTTCTAACACACTATGATTGCTCCTTTTTCTTAACTCGAATCATTCTTAATAGACAGCACTGCTCAGTTTAGCACTTAATGTTTCCTCACTTTTTAAAAAAGTGTCTTGGTGTCTTGGTTGCCTACCTCAGTGGAGATGACCATATTACATATTTCTTTTAAGTTTAATAATCTGAGAAAATAGAACTCAAATGGTACATTAAAAAAGATGTTTTCCCAGTTAATGTTGCAACATTTCAGAAATAAATGCACTACTCTTCATGAATACATGGGCCAAATCCGCTTCTTCCTTTCTCACATGTCTGACTTTATTTTCACGTTGGGATTAGTGATCCTGTAACTTTAAAATTAGTCTGATCCGTCATTTAAAGTTTGCACATCAGTTTGTATAGAACGTTACTGAAGACAACATGAGCATAATTCAGTAATGATTACAGAGCGCCTATTATTTACGTGGCATTGCGATTGGCACTGATGGTATGAAGATGAATTAGACAAATATCCCACCCTCAAGTAGCTTAGAAGATTTAAAAATGTGCAGTTGTTCTGAGAAACTATTAAGAAGTTTGGTTAAGATTCTTCTTGTGTACCATTTAACAACCTGTCATCTTTACCCATTTCTGTTTTATTGTGTGATACATAAAAAAGTAATCTGTAAAATATATAAAATGAGGTAGGTGCATAGGAGCTTGTCTTAATTTTTGCCATTTCCCTTGTTGTTGATGCTAGACGCGTTACGTTAGGATAGACGGAAGTGTTCCATCTTCAGAAAGAGTACATCTGGTTAATCAGTTTCAAAAGGATCCTGAGACTCGTGTGGCTATCCTAAGCATTCAGGCTGCTGGTCAGGTAAGAAATTTGAGGTCTAAATATGATAGTGAAATATTGTTGAGAAAATATAAAGTGTATTCACCATAACTCTAACTTTATATCTGGATATCTGGTGTGATAAACATGCATTCTTCTTTAGAGAGTGCTAGAAAGTATGATGGAAGGGAGACCTCAACCTCTCTGACCCAAATCTTCCTACATTTTCAAGGAGAGAATCTCCTAGAAGAGTATAGGTAATTTGATTGTAATATTTTTCCATGACCTTTTTCCTTCCTTTGAATTTGCAGAGAATTTTCTCATCCCTTTCTTACAGCACTTATCTTACTTGGTGGTTTTCACCAGAGTCTGTGAGGCAGGGTGGCCTGAGGGAAACAAGAACTCTTCTATCTTTCTGGACTTTCTGGTTTGTCCCTTAGAATTAGGTTTGTCTCTAAGTAAATGAAAATGTAAATTAAGAAACACTTAAGGTCTCATGTCACACTGGTCAGAATGGCCATCATTGAAAAGTCCAAAAACAATAATTGCTGGAGAGGGTGTGGAGAAAAGGGAACCCTCCTACACTGTTGGTGGGAATGTAATTTGGTGTAGCCATTATGGAAAACAGCCAGGTATGGAGATTCCTGAAAAAAACTGAAAATAGACATACCCTATGATCCAGCAATCCCACTCCTGGGCATATATCCATAGGAAACTCCAATTCAAAAAGATACATGCACCCTAATGTTCATAGCAGTACTGTTTATAATAGCTAAGACATGGAAGCAACCTAAATGTCTATCGACAGATAAGTGGATAAAGAATATATATTTATACACAGAATAAACACACACAAACACACACACAATAGTGGAATATTACTCAGCTATAAAAAAGAATAGAATAATGCCATTTGCAGCAACATGGATGGACCTAGAGATTATTATACTAAGTGAAGTAAATCAGACAGAGAAAGATAAATATATAATATCACTTATATGTAGAATCTAAAAAAAAATCATGCAAATGAACTTATTTACAAAACAAAAGAAGACTCAGAGATGAAGGAAACAAATTTATCATTACCATCTGCTTAGGATTAGCAGATACAAACTACTGTATATAAAATCGATAAACAACCAGGTCCTAACATAGAGCATAGGGAACTATATTCAGAATCTTCTAATAACCTACAACAAAAAAGAATGATGAAAAATATGTGTATGTGTGAGTCACATCTGACTCACTATGCTATACACCAGAAACTAACACAACATTGCAGATCAACTATACTTCAATTAAAATTTTTTTAAATTAATTCTGTGCCTTTTTTGGACACATTTTTACTTTGAGGGGAAATAATTTCCATTATTTTTATATATTAATTGTAAAACAAGAACTACTTAATACTTTTCAGATCACACGATTTCAAACTGGTTTAAAATGCAATTGCACAAAAATGCAGTTGTGTTATATACATTGAGATACAAGCCAGTAAACTTCGGAGTCTTTCGGATGAAACATGAGAAATTCCAAAGAAAGAAAACAGTATGACTAGAGACATAATTTTCTTGCTTTATAGAACAGCAGTATGAATTAAATAAATAGAGGATGTCACTGCTCTCTGCCTAGTTGCTATGGATACCATGTGTTAGAAATTATATTCTCATTTATAATGTATTTTATTAAATCTTCCAATGGTAATGTGAATCCAGTCTTCATCAGAGGATAAAGTGATTTTGTTTGTGTATATATCCATCAAACTGACTTTTGAAATACTGAAATACCTGTTAAATGTGTTTTTTGTAGTTCACCTGGCTAACTTGCAGTAAGCAATCTTTATTTGCCTTCCATGAATTAAATTATCTTAATTTGGCTTAAAGTGAAAGACTGATTTGTTTTTAACCTTCAGTGTTCTCTTGTCCGTTCAGCGTATGGAAAGACTATTATATATTGCTCTATGTTAAATTCTCAGTTTATGTGCATCTCAGTCTCTTCACTTTATTTTGCTTAGGGTTTGACATTTACTGCTGCAACTCATGTTGTATTTGCTGAGTTGTACTGGGACCCTGGACATTTAAAACAAGCAGAAGACCGTGCTCACCGGATTGGACAGTGCAGTTTTGTGAATATTCACTACCTTATTGCAAATGGGACTCTGGACACGCTTATGTGGGGAATGTTGAATCGCAAGGTAAAGCTTGAACTTAAACCAGGTTACCAACTTACTCATTATTATCCATAGCCTGCATGAGTTAAGAGACTGAGTTTTTGCGTTTTCAGGCAAAGGACATCTAAGTACAGTAAGATGTTGATGTTAATAGGGAACAACTCCAGCAAAGCCTTCAATTGGTGGTACCCTACATGCTGTGCTCTGTAATAAGAGTGAGACATGAGTTTACATGCAGTCCTATTGTCTTCCAAGCCCTTCTTCCATCATTTTAGAGGCTGGGAGAGGATAAGCTATTAAGGAACCATAACGCTTCCAAACCCCACGTCCTTTTTGTAAGCTAAGAATAAACACTTTCTCAGAAGGATTCTTGAGTTCCTGGCTAATTTTGGACAGAGAACAGCCTGTACCCAGATTCTAGAAAAGGTAGGAGGGATGCTGATTGCTCTGTCCACTCAGCTGTCTCTTCTCCCCAGCCGTGAGGGATGTCTATAGAAAGAACTTGACTAAGGCCTAGAGGATGCTTTTCAAGCACTAAGTATAGATACTAAAAATGGCCAATCAATATGTAGGTTCAATTTCAAAGTTTATAAATATTGGAATAAAAGTTTTTAGGAGAAAAGCAAATAGTCTAGCTTCTCTAGTTAGACCTTTTCCTCATTGGGCATAGCAATCACTGTCTTGGTAATTTGGTTGTCACTTTGAAGAATTGTATCACTAAAGCCCATGATATGATAAATTTTTGTTTTATGATATATTTTTGTTTGTTTGTTTGTTTAAACCCATGATACGGTGAAACATAGATTGCTTGTGATTTAAAAGCAAAATCAAGTTACTACCTAGTCAATGTCAGCTGTGAAATGAACTGTGGTAAAATTAATATACTTTTCCATCTTACAGACTCAGGTTACAGGGAGCACACTGAATGGTAGGAAGGAAAAACTTCATGCTGAGGAGGGTGATAAGGAAAAATGGGATTTCCTGCAGTTTGCTGAAGCTTGGACTCCAAATGAAAGTTCTGAAGAGCTCAGGGATGAAATGTTATTCACTCACGTAAGATTATATGATGTATTCTTTTCTGTCTAATATCCGAAACTATGACTTTATCATGTATTATCTTACACAGCAATTTTTAGTTGTTCATGTTATTGAAAGGAGCCTCTGTATAAAGGTGGGAAACCTGTAAGAACCAAAAAATGTCATTGATAGGAGACTGCAACAGTGGCTTTATCTTCTATCAGTTAGAGGTCAGTGTGCACTGCTCCTTAGCAAAACAAGCTAAATAGAATCCAGCCTTCAGAAGAAAACGTGGGAGGCTATCTCTGTGACCCTGAGGGTGGGGAAAGATGTATTAAATCTGCCACAAAATGTAACATAAATAAGTCACATACTCTGTAAAGATATTCGCGTTACAGTGGCCAAATATATAAAGAACTTATAGAATTCAGTTAGTAAAACAAACAAGCCAACAGAAAAATAGACACGCAATGTGAGCATCAGAGGAGACCTGAGTAGCCAAAACACATGAAAAGAAACTCGCCTCACCAAAATGAGTCAGATCGTAAAGGTACCCTTTTCTCTTTACAATTAGTAAGCAATCTGTGGTGTAATACTTTGAGATCATGTGACTGTCCTATTCCCAAAACCTTTCACCAGTGGTTTTAGCATTTGTTGGTCTTTGCTTGAATCAGTTTTGAAACAGTGGTTTTGCTAATTCCATCATTGCATTTACATTTATTAGCTGGCATTATTCTGTAAAGAAAAACTCATTTTAAAAAAATGACTGTGAATTTGGGGATTCTATTATTATTTAGTGTGTTATAATCCTTTACCTTTTTTGTTTTTTCTTTTTAAATCTGCCTAGTGGAAGCTCCTTTAAGCTGGTATGCTCTCTCTCTTTTCTATATAAGTCCCTATAATTCTCTTGAGTTCTTCCTTGCTTTCTGACAAACAGTGTGTTCCAGATTCTCCTTGTTTTTTTCTTTGCCCCTGACCTGGAAGTGAACATTTCTTTAAGGAACCTTTATCTCCTTTTCTGGGGAATGATGTTTAGATATCCGAATTTTTTATTTGCTTCTGGCTTGTTTTTGATGTGTAGAGCTATATACACACTACATACACTTTTGCATCTGGGTCAATCCATATATATGTCTATGTCTGTCTCTATATATGTATGCATTTTTAAGTCATACATTTGTTCATTCTAATACCTTCAGTTCAGATCCAGACCACCAAGTTCTTTTTCATCTTCTCCATATAGCGATACAAACTCAAGTATTTATATTTCCTTTATCCACTAGAAAGACCTCTGGTTCCTAACATCATCAGCATATTTACTCATTTGCTCTAACCTTCCATACATGTAAAATACTTCTAAAATAACTACACTAATACCACACTTCACACCTACTGGATTGGCAACAATGAAAACATTTGACAAACCCAAGATATCAGGAACATTTCATATACTAAACTCTCATATGTTGCTTGCTGGGGATATAAATTGTTTTAACTCCTTGGGAAAGCACTTAGGCAGTATCTGGTAAAGTTGGAAATAACCTCCAACCAAACAGTTCCATTGCTAGGAATGTAGTCTGATGCATGTATATAAGGATACAGGTACAAGGATGTGTATTGAAGCATTTTTTGAAGTGCAGAAAATTGGAAATGACCAAAATCCCCATCAGTGGGAGAATGACTACACAAATTGTCATAAGATACTACTTAGAAGGTAGCATAAATGAACTAGGTTTATATGAATTAACATGATCGGGTTTTGAAAACATAATCTTATTTTTTAAATGCACAACATCCACATAAATGTTATGTATTTATGAATATATATATAGTAATAATATATATAAACCTAGTTTGGAAGAATATGTATTAGAATTATAATACTGACTGCCTCTGGAAGAGGCAGAGAATGGGTCTGGAGAAGGGTAGAAATGTGATACCATCTTCAGAAATAATTTAATTCTTTCATTTTAAAAAAAGATCAGAAGTAAATATTACAATATTAGTATTTGTAAATTTTGAATGGTGGTTATGTGGATATTTGGTATATTATCTATACAATAACAGATGCTATTTGGAGGCCATATATAAACTGAATAAGAAATAATATATTGGAGGAGCCTTCAGTCATTCAAACTGTTTTCTTTTTCCTAGTCCTTTTGGGGCAGTATGGTGTGAGTGTTATGGGGAGTTTAATTTTAGTTTTTGAAAGACTTGATCAGACATTATAGGAATGAAATTCAAGTTTGTACATGTTTTCTCATAATGCAAAATTTAAATATTAATGTAAAGCTTAGCTTCATAAAAAACAACGTTTTTTAATGTGGAATCTAACTAAATTTTTTATATATCTTATTTGGAGGGCTAGTACATTTTTTTCCCTAGGACAATAGAATGCCATTCTGTCAAACTTGCTTAAAAACAAAATAGTATTTTTTCCAAGACTTCTTTATTTTAAAGGCTACTTTCCTTTTAGTATGTTTATTATATCATATTTTGGCCCATGAAAATTAACTGATATCCTAGGAATTTAAAAAATATATAACTAAAACTATAGTTTGTAGCTGTTCTTTCTCTAAAATTCCCTATTAAACCATGTTTGAGTTCCTTTCTAAGTATTAAGAAGTTGAAACACATCTTCCCACATATATACATGTTTATTGTTTTTAAGTGTATCTGAAGAAAAATGTATATCTGTGTACAAAGTTTACAGAAAGAATCCTAGTCACCCTTACCACCTGAGTTAGGTGTTTATCATTCATGGTCTAGTGTTACCTCACACAGATTTTTCACTGTTTGTCTTTATACACACATGGTTTTGTATCGTTGGAATCATTCTGTGGAGACCATTTGTTCATTTTGCTTTGTTTGTATTTGTGGGTTTTGTTTTTTGACCAGGCTGTGAAACATGTTTTAAATGACATTAGGTGAGCCTGCCACTCATCACTTTGTCTGTATGTCCTCCAGCTTCATGCGTTTTAAGAAATGTTCAATTTGTAAAGAGGTCCTGAGGATATTCAACCAACATATTTCTCTTCAGAATGTTGCCAAAATGTCAGCATTTCCTATGGGAATTTTTCTATTTATACCAACTTCTTTTGGATCCTCTTTAAAGCCAGTTTTAAAAAAAAAAAAAACAACCCTATGTTGAGCATTTTTAGGATACTTCCAATTTTGTCTCTTAAACTTTACCAAATTAACCAACTTTGCCCATTGTCATCAAAAACTTGTTTAACTGAGAAGGTGATGACAGTTCTAATTGGATGGTTTTTAACGGCTTATGAATATTTCTGTAGTGTCAGCATTTTAAGCAATGTTCCTTTTCTCCCTGTCCCGGCGCCCCGCTGCTGCAGCTGGAGGCTAAAGCTGGGGCAGAGAAGAGGGACCTTCCAAAGCCGGAGGAACAGACAGTGTTAGTCAGCGATGACTCAGCTCAGGCCATCAGCTCCAGAGGAAGGGAGACCAAGGAGCAGAGGGAGGATGAACTGAGGCAGGAAGAGGCAGGAGCCCCCAGCACCCGGATTGCCAGTTCCCCATAGTCTTCTTAACCCTGTCAGCCCATCGCATTCAAGACGCTGTGAACTCTGTAAATAATTTTTTTTTTTTTAAGAAAACCAATAAGGGTTGTAAAGTTGGCAAATTGGTCTTCAGTGACTTGGGTTTCAGGTGAACTGACTTCTAGCATATGGGCTTTTGACAAATTGGTTTTCCGTGAATTGACCGAGAGCTAATATTAGTATGATTCTGGGTCCTGGGGACAGGGAGACTTCTGGTTAGGAAGGAGAGGAGGAGAATGAGAGGATATTTTCCCGGACAGAATTGTTATATTAGTTTTGCTATGTCCTGCCTTCTTTCTCCCCTGGTGTTCATTACCCTTCAGAATGGCATTATCTTTGTCTCCCTCCTCTCTTACTCAGAATTCTCTTTCTGTCACATAACTGAGCTAACCACTGGGATTAAAAAAACACATGTGGGGCAGGGCATATAGGTCCGTGGTAGAGTGTGTGCCTAACATGCACGAGGTCCTGGATTCAATCCCCATTACCTCCATTTAAAAAACAAATTAAATAAAGAAATAAATAAACCTAATTCCTCCCCATTCCCCCCCGCCCCCGGCAAGAAAAAAAGCCATATGGAACCAGGGCTAGTACTCTACCAGTATATACAGGTATAAGTGTGCTAATTTTCAAATATTAAATATTTTAACATAATGGTTGGTGAATAGCCACTTCTTCAGTCCCTTTGCTGTAGTCCCTCACCCCACCTTCTGGACCTCCTCATGGCCCTGCAGCGCACGGCCTCTAGGACTCTGGTTAACGCCCCTGCTATAGCTGTTGTTAAGTATTTAAATAACACCTTGCTTGGAATTAATCTACACCAATGTGAGTCACAGTTCTTCACCCATCCTAGATAGTTACGTTTGTAAAAGAAATTACTTGTTAGTGCAAATGAAAATCAAATTGAAGTCCAGCTAAAATGAAAAGAAATAATTCCACTGCCTTGAGGAAAGCCCCGTTGGCTGCCTCTTCAGTAACCAGTCCTGCCTGGGCATCCATCATCAGGGTCACTGTATCAGATGCCATCCAGTTTCTCAAGCTTCTTCCTTTCTGCTGCATCTGAATGTGCATGACTTCTAAGTACTCTTTCGGTTTTGCAGTGTTTTGATTTTCCTACATTGGCTTCTATGCAGTGATAAAGTAGGTTGTCCCCAGATGGAAGGACAGAAAAGTCGAGCTGTATTAGTCCATATTGTCACTTCCAAGTAATTAAAGGCTGTTTCTGAATAAAATAGACTGACTGGCATATCCAGATAGGAAGCCTCCCCTTAATTTTTTGCCATCATCCTAGGGCTAACCCTTCCCTAGCTCTGGCTGTGGGAAATTGGGCCTTTCCCTTAACCTCTTCAGGGCCTTTGCTCATCCTCTTTATGACCCTTACTGGATGATCAGCAGCATCATTTATCCAGAGATTTGAATCCCTAGATGACTTCTGAGCTTGCTTTCATTCATTCTATGTATATACTATAATGAGAAACT